GAATGCAATACTGGGATTTTCCCCATTCAGCCTTTTCAGGCCAGATTTCTCAAGACAGGCTCATATCAACACATAAGTAGAGTAACTGGTTGTGCCGACTGTCTCCGGGCGGCAAAGTTTGAACCCTTTGACCCAACGTCAGCCAAACGTGACAAAGCTGTGCAGAAAGGAGGACCCTTTCAAGCCAACTGAAAACTGGCCATGGGCTAGAAGAGAGCTGGGAGACAGCTCACGGGGGGGACATGCAGCCCTTCCCTGGTTCCGTCCCTCCGACCCTGCAGCTACACAAGCAGCCCTGAGCCCGGCACGGGCAGCCGGGAAGAGACAACAGTGGGCACCAGGAGCTCAACAACTACTGCAAGAGAACCTTGCTTATTGGACCCACGTGCCTCCACGCTAACCATTGATGGGCACATTTGGGTATCACCTGGACTGTGGTTTCTGAGACTTCAAGATACGCAGCCCCGCTCAGTCCTACTGCCAGACTTCTTTCTTGGACCGGGGGAGATCCTGCCATCCAGCGGCTCTGAACTCCAAGCACTGACTGAAAAGAAACCGTTGCTCCATGGGGTTGGAGCAGCAACTGACAGTCAAAAAGGGTCACTACCAGGTGATTTTGATGAGCTTTTGTGAAAAACTTTCAACGGAGGACAGTTATTTTTTCCAGAGCAGAGCAGGGCAGCGCAGCAGACAGGAATGCACTGCAACAGACTGCCCTGGAGCAAATCCACTCATGTACGGTTCCCAGGGTTAACAGATCCCTGGGTAGGACAGCACACCCACAGCTTTGTCACAGACATACAGAGGAACACCGTCCATCCTCCTCCTCTGGTGGAGGGAGGTTCTATGGGATTACGATGAGTGCAAAATAACACCAGTGCCCGCAGGAGCCCGTGCCTCCCACAGAGATGAGGTTCTCCCCACCCCAGAGCAAAAGCACACACTTCCCCGCTGCAGGAGCTCCACAAAGCTGTTGTCCCCACAAGGATGTGATTTGACCCAATGAAATGACCAGCAGGTCCCTACCTCTGTTCGCAGCGGCGCTGCTGCCAGATCCAGAGCCAACCTTCCCTCCATCTCCACTGCCTCATGTTGAACACTATCCTTTCTCATGACTGCAGTTTATTAGAAGGGGAAAGTATCTTAGAAGGAATGGGGACAGAAAGATAAGTAACAGAGGAAGTTCTTGTCGGTATGGTTTTTGTCACAAAGCAAAAGCAGTTAGTAATACAAGGAACATCCGATCCCAACTGTAGCCGAGTCAGCATCTCTGCCTCCTGAAGATGGGAGAGGAGAGTTGGTTTTGGTGTCAAGATCTTGAAATATTTTACCCCGTAATATAAAAAAAAGTACAAGTGATGAGCAATCTTTTAGCCTCATAATGCCTTTTTTTCCCATATAACAGGATGCCTCCTATATTCCACAGCTCTTAAGTTTTGAGGTTGCTTTCCTCCTTTTTCTAACCGATGCAAACATAATGATACTTATGATTCTAATCCATCCTGATAATAATTAATGTCATTAAATTACTCTTTTACTAGGTGACTGGACAGAACCAGTTTAGTTCTTGAACTGAATGGAGATTAAATTAAGTGATTATTTCCTTGATAGGTATTAACACAAGTCATTAAAAAAGCACTTCTATCAAGGTTAGTACCATAATTAATAGAACTATTCAAAAGTACTTAAACGCTTGAACAGAGCTCTAAGTTTCTATAAAGTACTAATTCCAAAAGTAATCAGGTGAATTGTCAAAGAGAACATAATGAAACTTTCTGTTCCTTTGACTGGCTTAGTTCTGTTTACTTAATCATGGGAAAACTTCCACCCTTCAATCGTCAGCCCACCAGGACTTACTACACTGTCTTCCCTCCATAAAAACTGTTACTCAGCATGCTTTCTGCTTTTATTGTTTACACCTCTCTCCAACTTCTCCTTTGGTCTCTGCTCTCTGAGAACACAGGAGGAAACTACAGAACTTAGTAGTGATATTGCTACAAAAAGAAGGAAAATGAAAGAAGTAGGGAGAAATGAAAACGTAAATAAAAATAAGAGGAACTCTATCCAGCAGAATAGAGATATGAAACAACTGGAAGACTCATTCTCAGGAGCACTACAATACACGTAACAGCCATGCCCTGTTACAATAAACATAACTGACTCACTGCAGATGTCCTCTGGATGTTTACCTCAGACACTGAGCACATTTTCAGTAAGGGACTTTTCAGACAGTAGCAGATTGAAAAACAGAGGCGAGATGATGGGACTCTTTTCACAACAGACTCCCAAAGGGCATCCTGCTTGCCACCACAGCCACCTGTCCCATTTACCTCTCTCATGGCCTCTGGTCTCCAAGTTTGTTTACCGGGAAATGACTGCTACCTCAAGCATGAGATGTCCTCAACTTCTCATTTAAACAGAAAGGGGTGATTCGTGGGGGTGGGGTTTATGGGGTTATTTGTTTTCTGCCTTGTTTTAGAAACAGTACAATGTCTCAGGAGTCTGGCAGGATACCTTGATCAGATGTGGCCACATACTGGAACCTTATTCTCCATTTCTATTTTGTCAGTTTACATTTAGGAAAGGAATTATTTGCTAAAGTAGAAACAGACTTAACTTATCACCTGCTGTGCCCCATTCTGCCCCAATTCAGAGACAGATGCATGTTGCTGCTTTTCTCAGCCAAGCCATGAGGACCTCCAAACAAGCCATTCTCTGGCAGTAGTAAAGGCTGTGGTGTTCATCAGGGACATAGGCTCCACTCATGCACCACAGGTGACAGAACTACTGTGGTTTAAGAAGTTACCACCTCTAATCAGGATGTGATAATTGTCCAAAAGGTCACTAAATAGAACAGCTTAATTCTCATTGCTCTGAAGTAAATAACTGCTCAGAGCAGTGGGCATCAACTAGCCCCCATCTGGTAAATACCCATGCAAGCTCATAAAAATAAGTCATACAAGTAGCCTGGCTGGACTGTTACATGCTCCCTTCAGTGGTTCCAGGACCGGGGTGTCTTCTGTGACGTGCTTTTAGACAGAGAAGCAGGCACAGGAAGGGAAGTTCAGAAGCAATATTTCCAACAGCTCCTTCAACAGAAGGTAATACGCTAGCGGATATCACTCTCACAGTACGAACAGCCTGGTAATGCTTACAGACCATCGAGTCAAATCAGGATTGCATGGTGCTAGAAAGTATGTGTGGTGTGTGTGTGTGTGTATATATATATATATGTAAGCTGAAAAAAGAAAGAGTACTAACATGCATTTGCATGAACATACTCCAACTGCAGTTTAGCAGCATAAGCTGTATATTGTCTCATCAGTCCCCAGACCCATCGATGTCCAATGCCGTGCAAAGTATTGCTTCAAGAGTAGAACCAGAGAGGGGAATGCATTCTGGAAAACCTGTGGGCACAACCGATACGGAGGGCGGCTGTTGCTGGACCTGGTTCTGTTTGACGGCAAGGCAATGAGAGCTTTTATGCTATTTTCTCTTGACTAAACACAGCACTCTCTTGCCAAGCAGTTTTAGATGAGAATTCTGCCATTCTGTGCTTAATGCTTTACAAAGAAACTGTTGTGAAGAACAAAGGGGTTTTTTTCTCCTTTTGCTAAATAGCATATACAGGAAATTGGAAACCTGAAACTCAGATCCCCAGAGAGGAGCTAAGGAAAAGCAAAACACTATCTGGCAGCAGCGATCATAATATGGCATTATGATTCACAGATAAAAAACACAAAGGTAAAAGTCAAACCAGAGCATAAAGAAGGTCTAGTTGGTAAATTGCCTTCTGGATATAACAGGTATAGAATTTTCCAAGGCAGCGTGTGCATGAAAAACACTCCAATATTTTGGAAGTAAATCCTGACTCACTCTGTACCAAAGGAGCTCCCAATCAGAAAATGCCTTAAGCATCAAAGCAAATTTCTGAACAATTCCTCAACAATATTTCAAGCTAGAAAAGAACTTAAAGTAGCTAGTATAAGCATCTCCAAGCCAAACAAGTAAAAGGAACAATGTCAACAAAGGACAGAATTGCTTTGGTTTGGGAACAGTGGGGAGTGGTTATTTGTTTTGACCAAGGTAAAAATTATCCCAGCAAGTTTAAAAGCAATGAAAGAGAAGTCACTGCACAACAATGAAAGAGAAGACAGTTAGAGTCTGTTAGTCACAAATGATCACAGCACTCCATGAACTGAATTTGCTGCTGTACTCTTTCCACAGACCAGTGCACTGATGCACCACAGTGAACATTTTCTCTTCTAAAAAGCTTTACAAGTTGCCTTTGCAATTTGGAAATCTTAGTGTTATCATTGAGATATCCAGTAAACGGTATGAATAGATAATCCAGTTTAACGCCCCAACAATGGGCACAAGATTAAAGTTTTCTGTCCTACACATGTTTACAGAGGGTTTTCCTAGTCATGACTGTAAACATCTTGTTTGAGCTTTTTTAGATGTCAGTTACAAGCTTTGACACAAAGATAAATACTGATGTCATTTGCTACATGCATAATAATGTATTACAAAAAAGTGAGGAGTAGATATGTAAAAAAAAGTGATGAGCTAGTATGTGAGTTAAACTGACAGAGTTACTTGCTGCAGGCTCAAAATATTTTCTTCCTCTTTATTACTTTGGATATGCAAGATCTCTTTAGTTCATTTCTAATTACCAGCATAGCACAGCTCGAGTGGAACTGCAATATGTTGCTAATTGCAACAGCAGTAGTTTTACGTGTTTATTACGCTAAAACGTGTTTCACCTTGGAACTGTCCAGCTGGACTTGGACAATGGGTCAAACCTCAGAGGTGTAACGCAGCTCCCACTGCCTTCAGCAGTGCTGCACCAGCTCCTACTGACAGAGAATCTACTCCAACAGCTGCTGTATTATCAAGTAAAATTTAGAAAGATGACATTGCCCTCCCTAGAAGAGTATTCCCACACTACACAAAGATTTACCTACATGCAAGTGTTTTATGCAAGACAAACACCATACCTCATTCCTTCTGTAGACCTATTCTGGTAGTTACGGTAGAGCTGGGGAACACCTAACATCGCCTCGGTGAACACTGCAAGGAAGCCCAGCGTTTCCACAAAGAGAGATGAGTCAAGCCAGAGGTAAGTGATGTAACCGGTCACACCAGTGAAGGTCAGGACACACTGCACGTAGTCTGTAAACTTGCTCCAATGCCAAAAATAGTTCAAGTCAAAATCTGCAACAGAACAGGAATGGAAGAGGAATAAATAATGTTTTCCCAAACGGACTCAAAGTTAATCAGGGTGGAATTGAGAACTGGGAAGTGTGAGGGAGCCACTGTCAGTCTTCGGAGGTAGGGGGAAGTAGAAAGCAACGGAAAATATTAAAAAAATAAAACCAAACCAACCAAGCACAAACCCAAAAGAAGAAACAAAAAACCTATCAAACTCAAAACCAACAAGAAAAATAAAAAATAGGAGTCTTGATTTGGAAAACATTTTGGGGGGTTATTCAATAAAGAAGCAATAAAACAAAAAACTTGCAAACTACCAAAATATTTACAAAGATGACTTTTAAAGAGAAAGCATTGACCTTCAGATATCAAACATGAAGAACTCTGGATATAACTATCAGAGTTGGCATAGGAAGTGTTTCACAATAAACTTCACAATACTAAGCACAGGCCCCCACACGTGAAGGGCAAGCTGCCATGTGCAGCTGGTACAGCTTTACTGAGATAGGTGCAAGACTGTGACAAGAATCCCCGCTGGAACAAGGCCTCCCACAGACGTCACCACTTTTCACTCCAAGGGTAAAATGCACTTCGCTCTTGCCTTTGCCAGTACCAATGAGTGCAGGGTGCACAGCCATTTCTACATCCATCAGAACAAAACACTATACCACAAAACACAATATCCTCTCTTGAGAGAAGAACAGAAAGAACAAACCAACCATGGCATTTCCTTGGCACATTAACAGCATACCACTGGAAGATATGCATCTATCTTATTGATGAATAATAAAACCCCGTTACCGTTGACTGTACAGCAAAATAACAACATAATTTTGAATAATAAGAATGCTGAAATAACCGTTCATTAGCAGGTGCTGTTCATGTCTTCCTTTCTTAAAAGCACTTGAAGTTAAAAATACTTACATCAGACCAACTGGATTCTGTTAATTATCAAGATGATGAACCATAGTCCTAACAGGGTTATTACAACCAGCCCAGATATGTGCAACACATTGGCACATCACTAGAAGGTTTCTGTGGCTGCCTCCTCAGCAGAAGTACAGAATGCTACAAAAAAGTCCTGCTGTTAACTCAGGCAAGGAAGACATTGACCTCCGCTGACTAACACTAACAACAAATTCAGTGAAATGGGAATACAGACACTTAGCTGCCTAATGATACATATACATGTCAAGTAACAGTTTCATTTTCTGCATCTTTTCACACTTTCATAGCATCAGTCTGGCCCTCAGACACTTTTATTAACTAGTCTCCCCTTTTTAGTACTTGGCAAACCCACACCTCAAGACAACTACTGGCTGCATCCAGCTGAGTCATTTTACTTTGCCACACAAAGAGGAAGGCAAAACTGGCCAGGAGCCATACCCAACCTGTAGCATTGTCGGCCGTCACCCAGAACTGCATTAAATAATCTGTGGCAAAGCCACTGTCAATATAATGTTGACCTTCAGTATTTTATATGGCAGCGGCTCCTCAGCCTCAGAATTCAGGGACACAAGACTAAATAAAAGGTAGACCCATTGCTGGCACAGCCCGCGCAGCACGTGAGCATCAGGCATTTCTGGAGCTTTGTGAAGGCTTTCTTTTTTGGAGGTGAAGGAAGAACAAAACAGAATGAGGCAGAAAAGGGAAGGCACAAGACAACCACAACCCCAAGGCAGGAAAAACATTAGCCATTTTAATTTATCTCTAGTGCATTTTCTGGAGAGGAGCAGAGGCAACAAGAATCTCTGACAAAGTAGAAGGAATAAGACACCCAAAATTCCCATTCCTTTCACTTTGCCTGATCTACTTCTAATTTTGCCAGCTTCACGAGCAATACCAAGCAAATGGCCTGACCCAGCATAACAAATCTGACGCTACACAACTGTTAAATTCGCAAGAGATGCTCTCTGGGACAGATGCATTTAGGCTTACAATGGGGACAGAATAAAGTACAGCAGAAGAAAAGAGGATGAAGAGAAAGGTAAAGTTGGTGAGGTTTCAGGCCATTTAGAAAAGCAACCTCCATTCTGGAAAAGGAGAGCTACTGATGGCTTTTGAGTAAGACATAACTACTACTTTTACCAGATTATTTCTTTAAACCTTCTGAGATGTTCTCACCCAGACTTCAGTTTCTTCACAGACACCTAAAGCACGGGCTTTCAATCCTCAAAAAGGCAAGTGTTTCATTTTCATTCAGAGCTCTCACATTCAAGTATGCAGGGTGCAAAACTTGCATTTACTTTCCAGCAAGGGTCATTCAATTTTGATACAGTGTTCAACAGATACTGTCTCAGACCAATACCTGAAAACTAGCAACCCATGGCAGCCATAGGCAAGAACACATGAAGCACACTCTTCCAGGCAGTTCCAGCCCTAGAAGAGACCATCTTGGGCTCTCAAGATAGCTATATAGCCACTACAGCTCAAATCCTGGAATGAACAGCATCAGTTTGGATCTGGTTGCCGTGCTGCCTTGGGCATGCAAGACCCTTGGCCCCTCACTCATTAAACCCTCCCACCAGCTGTCAGGGCTATTCTGCATACAGTGTTTCTCCTCCTGCGTTCTCCACATGCTCAAGGATCCTTTTAAAATACCCATCCCTGTACACCAAATCCTTATTTCCCCAAGTTCATTTTCGTAACAGAAATGAAAGAACTAAATCTTCATGGGGGTGCAGAAGTTTCAGAAGTTCATGGAACAAAAAAAGTCAACATTCACACAGCTACTCTAAGGCCAGCTACAAAATCCACAGACCCATGTAAACACTTAAACACGCAATTACCTCCTGCTATGCCAGCTTTTCATGTGCATATTCAGTACTGCTGCACTGAACTCTATTTCCATTCATATAAGTATATCTAACTTCCCTGAACCTAGTATTAGGCAGCCAAGAAATCTGGTAATGATGATAATTTACTCATCACCTTTTGTCTGATAATCTTAAGTATTATTTCTATTATAATAACATACACAGATGAGAAAACTATCATGTGAAACAGGACTTCAACTGAAGCAGGAGAGTTAATTACTAGCACAGGAAAGAGACTGAGATTCTCTTTTGCTCAAAACTTCACGATGCTATATAGTCTTCATTTCACTATACTAGGTTATGAGTAAGAAAGTAGAACGTTTCTGCTATAGATTTTGCTTGGTAGTGTTTTCAAGAAAGAAAGAACAGAAAGACAGAAAGAATGAAAGGCAAGAAAGACAGACAAAATAAGATAAGACCAATCATAACCTTGGTAATAGCCTTACAGAAAAACAGCTGAACATTTTAAAAACAATCCAATAAGCAGAGCAATTAGCAATTGTGTAACAGATGTATTTTCCAAACCCAGACGTCTTTTTCAGGACACTACGCATCACCAAACTCTGTATTACCAACTACTTCCAGGAAGAAGTAAAAGAATGATTGAACTTTAAAAAAAAAAAAAAAAAGAAGAAAAAAAAGGTAGAGAACAGTATACCTGACCTTTCATCCAGGTCGTAGTTTCTCTGGCCCTTACTTGAACTGCTAAACTGTTTTGCCACATGATTGTTTCTTTTTAACCAAGGCTGAAGCCTATCTTCTCTGACAAATGGTTTCAAAAATTCAGAGGGGAAAAAAAAAAAAATCACATAGCCATCACTTCAAGATTTGGAAATAAACTGTGACTCATTTTTCCAAGTGGCTCCCTTCTCAAGGGGGTCCAAACACATTAGTTCTGTAATAGGAGCTGTATACTTTCAAAGAAAAAAAATGTTGGTTGTACTGAGTACTGTGACAGGTACATCAAAAAAAGGCTTTTAAATGCTTAAAAACAAAAGGGAATTGTCCCTTAAAAAAAAAAAAAGAAAAGGAGTTTTAAAAAAAAGAACAAAATCCACGTGTGTGTGCAGACCAGTCCCATTCCCCTCCATACAGAGCAACCTGCAGCAGAGGGGAGAGGTAGATACAGCCACAACTGTCCCAAGAAGATAGCCAGAGGACACCAATCAGTGCCCTGGGCCATGTCATATGAGGTGCAGAACTGAACAAAGTTATAAATAATATTGCAAACATTATTCACATTTGAAGAAAATTATGAATAATAAGGACGATATTGGGATTTCTGCCCCGCCCCCCACACCCCCACAAACATCATCCCTTTTCTTTAAAAGGACAAAACAAGAAATCCCACTGCACAACAATTTTTTTCTATCAAATGTCTTAAAATCTGTCCAAGTTAAATCTGGATGCATATCTTTCTATTGCCTGAAATGGGAAGGCACTGCTTGCACAGCTGACTCCATTCACAAGCTCCCCATCCCGCCCAGAGAGAAATTCATGACACAAGTTTATAACCATACTCAGTTGATGCAGTTCAAATGGTAACTCCCAGTCACTAACGTCCTGGATTGATCCAAACTGGCATTACTGCAGTGAAAGGTACTATATCTTATTACACATGCCTGAGCTCTTTAATCCACTCAGTGAGTTGCATTTTAAACATGTTAATCCATTGATAGATGAGAGATTTATGTTGGAAAATCCTATTGATGCTGGGGGAAGGAGCAGCTCAGTAGGTTCTTTGTGCACTGACTGGAGAAAAGTCTACACAGCTTGAGGGTGAAGAAAGATGAGATTAAAAGACCTCCTCTGGGAGACATATTGCATGTCAGATACAAAAAATGTAAAGCAGGCAGAGACAGCATTGCAAATAACCATGGTTAGCACTAGTCAGGCCAAAATGCAAGTAGTAAATTCAAGATACTGGTGCGAGATAGATGCCAAGTGACACAACGAAGAGTCCACAGTATTAACTTTCACTTAAGGATGACACAGAGGTCCAAACAGTTACATTATTTTTAGTCAAGAAGCATTTTATACCAAGTCAGCTACCATGCTAGTTCCTTTTGGGAAACTGAAGCAAAGACTTTGACATCCTAAAAATTATTTACTGTAGCTCTCAATTTCTCTTGCTCATTGCATCTTATTTTGTACTTTGACCTTTCTAATTCTGTACCTGCACCCTTG